CATTAGAGGTGCTGAACACCCGTGACTCTTGTTGAAGTCCAAGGGAGCGGAGGTGCACAGTATGAAAGTCAAACTGTGCCATTTCCTGAAGGCCAGCTAAGAAGGGTGAGAATTAGGAGGGGACATAACTCAAGTCTTCAGCCAATGAAGGCAAAAACCACAGAGGTGGCGTTATCTGAGTTTATGAATGGAAGAGAATAAAACAGTCAAATTTTGGGCTTAAACACGTCCTTTTAAATTCCCTGAATATTTTAGACAGCCGCAAGGATGCCAACTGACCCAGCTGTACAGTAATTTTTACACGCATATGCTTTCAGTAAATCTTGTTCTAATTAAAGGTGGGAGTACGGGCTTATGCATTTTAAATTTTCATTAACCTGAAAATGAGATAGTTCAACCAATGACTGATTTAAGCCTTTTAATTCTGGCAGAGTTACCATCACGGGGAAAGAAAAAACATGCTCCTCAAACAGAGTGGCATTAAGCATACGTGGACTGAGGAAAGTAAGAGCATGTATCCAGGTGAGATGGATAAAAAAAATACAGCTGATATTCTTCATTAGATAGTCAAGATGATTTAGCCACTAATGGAGTCACGAATAAAATCCCTCGTGTGCATACTCAGTGTAACCTAGGACTTCAGGATTTCCACTGAAGAATTAGTTGCCTGTGTCTAGAATTCCATTCATCTGCAGCAATGGACGCTGACAATTTGGTACAGCTCTCTACCGTGCACTTCATTAACATGCAGTGAATTGGGTAGCAGACTTAGTTCTTAAGAGCCAGAAAAAAACCCATCAGAACTAAGGCTAAAAATCTCATGAACACAGGATCGTTGATTAGGAACTGAAGCACTGTGAGCTGCTCAACGACAGGAATTTGCATTTCCATCTTATGGAAATATTTTGATTATTTGCAATTCAGTTTACATTGCCAATATTGTATGATAGACTTGAAGCCTGCTTTTCCCACCCTGGCCAAATTCAGTCAGAAGCTCTGTACAATCAGACGGTTTACAGCCGGTCCCCGAGTTACGAATGAGTTACGGACCAAATACTTGGCCGTAACTTGAAGTGTTCATAACTCAGATCCCATAGAGTTACATGGCGACCGCGCGGTTCGTAAGCGCAGATCGCGTTCGTAACTCAGGGACCGCATTTACGACTGCTTTGGTCGTAAGTGCAGATGGTCTTAAGTCGGAGACTGGCTGTACTGTTGCCATAGATTCTAGGGATGTAAAACCGTGGTTAACAAAGTTGTTTAACTGGTTAACCTGCCTACAGCATCTTGCCACAGGTGAGGGGCCACTGGAGCAGCCTCTCACCAATGACACAGCAGGCTGGATTGAAGTACCTCTTACTTCTGGCATGGCAGGCCGGGCCAGGTGCTGGTTAACCAGTTACACCTGGTAAGCACTGCATCATCCACGTGCTTGCCAGGTAACTGGTTAACCAGTTAGCCCTTTACATTCCTAAGGAATTTATTGTGCCTTTAAGGTTTGGGGCAAAGAGCCAAATGCCACAATTGGTGCTTAGAGCTCATCAAGTCCCTTTTAAAGGTATGTTTATTTTAGTAATTGACATTTCAATAGATACATTTCTTTTCTTTCCTAACTTGGCCCTGGCAGGGGCAGCCCATGGCTATAGGCAAACTTGGCCGCCGCCCGGGGTGCCCCATGATGACGTCACGGGGGCGCCTGCCGATGACATCAGTCAATTGACAGCCCTGCAGGCAGGGGCACCGATCGCGCGTTCCACCTGGGGCGCCAGCTGCCGCTGCCAGCCTCGGGCTGCTCCTGGGCCCTGGGGACAAAGAGTGGGAGGGGTCCTTCTACATCTGCAGATGCTAAGGCAAAACCCTGCAGAGAGAGCAAATGGAGACTGTCTCACCAAATACAAAAAGCTGTCAGGAAAACACTATATCGGATGGCTAAAACACTAGAATTATTTTAGTCACAGAATTTAATTTGATACGTACACACACTCATTCGGCTTAAATAATTAAGGGACTGTAACAAGACAAACAATTAGAATTTGGACGCGGCTCAAAAGTCTGTTGTGAATCAGGTCAGGTTATGGAGTACAGCAAATCCTAGCATGCCCTCCAGTGGTTAAGAAAAGCAAAGATATTTCTTGGATTCTTCTCAGCGACTGCAACTAATAGCAAATAAACCGTTAGGCCACATATTAACTTCATCAGTTCCCAAAACAAACAGAAGAGTACAACTGCTGTGTGGGGGTAACAAAAGTCTAACTTGGTCTATTCCAGTCCGCTGGCTTGTTTTGTGTTTGGTTTCCACATTCCATTGCTCTGTGCAAACAGCTAAAAAACAACGTTCAATGAAAGCAAGACAAAGCTAGAGATCAAAAGATAACCGTAGCCAGCACTGCAGTGACTGCTAATCAGCTTTTTCACTTTACATTGTTTCAGAGGTTTAAAACACTTAGCTATTTCAAACATCATCCACCTCCAACCTGGGACATGTAGGGAGCATCAACATTGTTTGAACAAAAATCTTACAGTGTCCATTTGTGCAGCTGTATTTGAGAGGCAACGAAACAAACTTTGATGATCTCATTGTGTTAGAAGGTTTTTGCATCGGTCTAGTGGGATAGTTGTTAAGTTACATTTGCAAGTGGTCACCATTTAAAAGGAAGCAAACTTTGCTGCTATTCCAGAAAACATGAAAATCCAAGACGAGCACAGCGACTGAGAACACATGTGGTTGTTCCACTGAACTCTTCAGCACTGAATCTCTCAAATCCTGTACAGCCACTTATGCTGTTTTTTCTATTCAAGGAGACATGTGTGTCCAACATAAATTAATAACTGTGGAGTGCCCAGTGAGTTGCTCCTTTAATGCTGCAACAGTGGGGAGCACTGAAGTTGAATCAGTATTTTCCAGTCAAGAGCAAATAAAATTTAATTCAATTCAATTCAAATTTAAAATAGCAAGGGATAATCGTTATGCAAAGCTCTTAACCTGAGCTCTGGTTTGAGTATCTTTAGTTTCTGCTTCGAGAGACAAACCACAGAAGACGATTGTGGGAAGGGCAGAAAAAAAAGTCGAAATGTGAGCAGATTGAGAAGGAGGGATTAGTAAGCATATTATTCTCATGATGGATTATGTGCAAGTCATCATACAGCAATTCTATGCTGGCCATGCTAAATTGCTGCATGGTCTCAATGTGAAACCCAATTAAGACTGATTACTATTTGGCACTGATTTACCTGCTTGTTACAGCAGGCTCTCTTTCTACTTTCAGGTATCTGTATATATAACACATAGGTAAAACACCACCAAACAGCAGCTAATCTAGATTGGGGTTTACTTGAGACCAGGCAACAACTTGGCCTGAAGGTAGCAGGACATGCATCTCGCTACCATAAGAAATAATTTGTTCGTTAAGAGCCGGACATGAAGCCCACTGAAATCAATGGGAGTCTTATTGACACCAAATTAGATTACTCCAAAAAGACTAGTCACACCTTAAAGACTAACCAAACACATAGATGGTATCATGAGCTTTCGGGGGCGCAACCCACTGCCCACGAAAGCTCGCGATACCATCTACATGTTCTGTTAGTCTTTACGGTGCTACTAGTTTATTTGTTGTTTAAGTTTTTCTTGTTACAGACTAACTCAGTTACCCCTCTGAAGAGATCTACTCCAGTTAGGCCCTATCATAGGATAAGGTGTGCACTGACACGGGACAGCCGAAGAAGTCTATTTGCTGCAGTAGTATATCTGTAGTTAGAAATACTCTAGAACTCAATTCGTCCTCCCCTGCTAGCTTACTCTTACTTTTTTTACACTGAATTTGGCTGCTAACACATTCTTCTTGGCTTGCCTCCTAAAGCTAGCTCAGTTATATGACAACACTTCACTCCACTTAGCACTTCTGTGTTTTCTCACAAGGCACAAGATTCAACAGATATAGAAACAAAACCACTATCTCCATTTCACCACAGTGTTTTCAGTTCAGAGAGGCTAAATGACAAATACACCACTTGTTTGTATAAAGTGGTTTTACATGCTAACCTTGGGGCGTTCTTCTTTTTTCAAGGCTACCGCTTCCAATTTTGCTTCATACTCTGCTTGAACTTGGTCTCTCTTCTTTAGTACATTCTAGGAAAGAAACAACAAAAAACCGCAAGACTGAAAACGTACAAAATCTTGACTCCCTCTCTTCCCCCCACAAGTGTTGCAGATGAGTGGCACTTAAGACGGTGAATCCCAAGTCACAGGTTTTCCTTTCAGAGGCTTCTCCTGTTTCAGGCATCTATGAAGAGGCTTTTGAATACAAATAAAAAAGCACTCTAGGTGGTGAGCTGATGCCAGATGAGTTTTGTAGCTGTTTGATTAGAGACAAAGTCAAACTGCCTGCTTCGCAAATGACTTGCATTGTGACCTTTGGCACGTCACTTATTTTCTCCTGAAGATGAAAATAAAAGGATAAATAGGAACACAGAAAGGGTCAATATATAAAGCTTTACAAACAAGATGCCCAAGCAACACAGTTCCTAAAGCTATGAGATTCTACTACAACCCACCCACTCAGCTTTCTGCTAAATCCTTCTGGAATGAATTTCCATTCTGAGTCCGAGATAAGGGAGAGGATTTTGTCCAAAATCAACCTGTTTTATTATATGATGGACTTTCGCACATGGAACATTCGATTTTTTAGTTTAAGCTCATGCCTTCGAGCTGACTATTCCTCAGTGAATAAGGATCTCCAAACATATTGATAAAAATAAAAAAAAAAAAGACCCAGATAATTTTACTTTACAACTGTGGACAAGATGTCCACTAACAAGACTTGGGAGCATCCAGTTATATAATAAGATATTGGTCACACAGAAGTTGTTTGTTTTGTCTTTGCCGAGGGTAGCGGTTGCTTGTCCATGTTGAGTTTATAGCACAACCAGTAATAGCGTATTACAGTGTTTCTCAACCACTGGTATGAGTACCTTTAGAGGTACTCAAGAGAAGTCGGGGGGGGGGGGTACATGAATACAATTGAAATTTTTGTACTTTTTACACCCAAAAATTTCATCGTCCACCTGGCTATGATTAAGTTGTTTAAACAAATGTATTGCTATGGTATAAAAAAATTGTGCGTGTCTAAAAATTGTGGGTACTGGGGGTACTTTTTTTTTTAAAGGGATACTTTATAAAGAAAGATTGAGAAACTATTAAATGGGACACGGATACTGGGCAACGACTTTGTACAAATGTTTACTCAGGAGAGGAATAATTGATGCCCTTGGAGACTTGTTCTCCAGAACAAAAGGAAGGAGGAAGAATCTGACCCAGATAGGACTGGCAGGAGATGACTGGGGAGGTGAGTCAATGGGCTGAAACCCACATGGTGTTTCCAATGGTCATTCAGTTGCAAGGCACAGATTCAGAATGAAGTACTCAGAGCTCAGGCAGCCAGTTTGCTCAAGGATCTCCCTTGCTTAATTTATTGACTATACTGTAGATGTAAAAAATTACAATAGCTGACAGATCACTCAAAGACCATGAGGAACACAAACACTTATGACAAAATCCATATATTCATCATCAAACCCTCCCTCCATCACATGCCGAGGGAAGTATCACCATTTCAGTATCAAGAAGGCCAAGTTTTTATGCATGAAGAATCAACCAATATTACCAATGGCTGGCTTTACTAGTTTGAAGTCCAGTGGAGGAAGAGGAAAAAGCAGAGGTGGAGGCACATTTGTGTTCCTAAAGCCTCATGTCTCAGTACTCTAACCTTCAGGGCTATAATTTTTAAGCCAAGAATGCACTCCAAGTCATGCCTGACAAAGGAAGACAATCTCTCTACTCCAGAGAAGATACAATGCCTTCTCCCCAAGACACCGAGGGCAATAAAGGAGAGAATATTAGATATATTAAAATGTGCATGTGGCACACCTTTAGTTCTCCTTTCTAAAGATAAGCAGGTTATTGGCTACATTTGCCTGCAGCAAAATGTGAGACATCAGTTCTCAATAGGAGACTAAGTGGAATCTTTCCCTGCAGTTGTCTGAGATTTTCAGTGCACCAAAGGCAGTGTTATTGAATAGGTATTTCCGCTCACGAACAAAAGGGATATTGGGAAGAGACTAATATTTCTGGTTTTTTTTAAATAAATAGTTGCTTTGGAGTAAGTGGGCAGCACTCAGCATGGAAACAGATGTTTAGAACTAGGAAATAAGTTGAGCCCGTTCCTGCAAGGTCCAGTGATGAACAGGCGTTGTATTAGTACACAAAATTCAATGGACAACAAGTGACTAGAGAGTACTGCTACTGGGGGGAACTCACAATGTGTTTAGAAGTATAAATTAAACTAACAGCTCAGGTCTGCGTGCCAGTTAGCATTTTTCCTTCAGAATGGGGGGGGGGGGGGGGGGAGAGAAAAGGGGGAACAAACAAGACAAGGAATTTCCCTAGCATCTCTATTACCTGCTCTAAGCTGTAGCCCAACATACTTTGCTACTTCACACTTCTGCTCTTACAAGTACCATGTTTCTAGCTTTTTTGGGGTATGGATTCACCACTCAATATAAAAAGATTTTTCTTCTGAGTTATGTGGACTGAAGCCAGACCTCCTTCTGGTTGTACTCCAATTAACCAGCAGACAAACAAAGAGGTCAGTCAACCTCTCATTTGATAGTGTGCATACAGGTTTTCCCTTTAGCTTAAGTGTTACAAATACTTTTAAAAGAAAAAAGTTGCAAGTGGCCTGCTTTCACCTCATGTTTGAGGGTCTCATGCTTTTGCACCTAAGTTTGCTTTTTTTGTAATGGCTAGAGGCTGCCTTGCCCCAGAATCACTGAAACACCAAGCCAAAACCAGGGCAATTAATTTTGGCACTCTACGTAATTATTAATTTTTGCATGCTTCACTGAACATAAAGTCTAGTACTTGCCTCAAATATGAGCAGAAAAAGAAATGTACTTGAAATGCAGGAATTTAACATTATGCAAGCACATGATAGAGAAACAGTTTTAGTAAAAGTACAGTAAAACTCCGATGGTCCGGCACTCCTGATGGTCCGGCACCATCAGGAACCCGGAAGTGCTCCAGGCAGCCGGACCATTGGAGCTGCTCTGCCCCCAGATTCAGCTGCTGCTAAAACTGACCAGCGGCTGAATTTGGGA